TGTCCCCCAACAATAAGTGTTAGTTTCTTTGCAAAGTAATATCAAAATCTACACAAATGTAACAAGAAGTTTTGGTGTTCCACTTTACTAAGTTAGTAGCAGTCAACAAAATAAACTTTAATTCCAATTCGGAGAGTTTGGAGCAAGATCGGACGGACTACTTTCAGTTAGATATCAAATATGTGTTCTTATTAAAGACAACTTCTGGAATTAAATTTCACTACATAGATATTTGAAATTTGTGACATACTAACAGCTCTGCCTCAACATATTCTGAATACATCTAATATAAACTTTTTTTCAACAGGAAATCTGAAGTGAAGCTCAAGAAGAAGACCTGGGTCTGCCTGCTTTCTCTGTGTAGACTAACCCCATATTTTCTTTGAAAAGTCATTCAGACCTAGTTTTTTTCCCTATAAAGATCGTCCTACCTGTGTTTACACATGATGTGTGCAGAAACAAGTTCTGTTTGTTTGTTTGTTTTCCTAAACTATCTTTGGTTTGTTCTTGCTTATATAAAAAAATTATTTAATTTTCAGGAGAAATATCTAATTTCCCTTCTTCAGTGTTCATCAAAATCAGATTTTTTTTTTTATTCAAAATAAATTTTGAATAAAATAACAAGGTTTTCTGGAAAACATTATTGAAGACTGGTTTGGGGGTTATTATGAGCCAATGCTCCACATAGAAAAGCAATTACTTCTAGGGTTTAGTACATCCAGAAAAATAGAATACAAGGAACAGCAGCAATAGTCTAACAGACAAAGACTGTTGGAGTGAGAAAAATGAAAGCAGATAGTGACAGCATACTTCAGAAACAGTACTAAAGTTTTATATTGCATGTTAACTTGTTGTTTAATAGGTATTAGCATTGAATAATACTGGATTTTTCAGTTTGCTTTGGGTTTTTTTATTGTGAAAAATAGAAATTTTTTTTTACGGTATTAAAATAAATTTTAAACTTTTTTAAAGTAAAAGAAATAAACTAGATGATTTATTGTAAAAGTTAGGTCTAAAATTACTCTTGTGACTATTTACTATTCCATACTGATTTTATGATACAATATAGTTTCCATCTTCTTTTCTTTTCCTCTCCACTGCCTCTTAATTTCTTTCTGTTCCACAGAGACTTATATTAGTAACAGTTCTCTTTCTCTTGGAAATGTTAAAGTCCATCACTTCCTGCTAATATTTCCTCTCTCTCACAACTTGCAAAAATATTTGCTGTTCTTTACTGTGAAAAATAGTTAAACTGTTCAAATTTCCTCAGCATTCAATTTTAAAATTTGTTGCTTCTATTTGGAGGAGGCCCTGTACTACAGAGACCCTGATGATTTTTTCTGTCTCTGGTTTTTGTGGTGTTTGTTTTTTTTTTTTCCCCAGAGGAAAAAATCCTACATATCAATATTATTATATTGTGTTTATTCAATAAAAAATGCAATCCTTCTTGAAATTTAATCAAGTAAAACTATCTGATTTGATTTTACAGAGTAGTATTTCCTCTGGTTGTACCAAAATAACAACAAGAATTTTACAAGATTATTCTAAGTTATTTGGGTAATTCTAATGTATATGTTTATGTTTATACCTTAAACTTACTATATAAGTCTGAAAGCTCTCAAGTAGTTTTGAAGAAAGATGTTACAAAAAGTGAAATATGAACTCCATTATTCCACATTGTAAGATATGTGGATAAAAGCAATTCTTTAATAAAAAGAGATAATTTCTTTCTCTTATATTATCATGTTAATGTTGCTGAACCTACTTCTGTGTTTCAGCGCAAAACTGCTCAGTAGGAAATCATACTTTATATGAAACAAAGATTTCTTCTTTATCAGCATTGAACGTAAGGGGAAAAAAGACTATCAAAACTAGAATAATGTTTACAAACACAACATTATACAGTAGAGTCATAGGAACAAAAAATTGTAAAGAGCTATTTTTTGAGTTTATATATAGAGAGACACACAGATACAAAGTTACAATATGTTTTCAGGATTATTGTAGTATTTCTGTGCACTCTGATAGGAAGAAATCTAAATCACAAATTTCGAACTATCCTGAAATCTTATTTTTATTACATCGATAAAAAAGCCCCAGATGATGGACTGAAAGTCAACAGCAGTATCCACTATTATCTTGGAGGAATCATGACTTCTTTTGACTAACTCAGACTTCAAGGAAGTGAACAAACTTTTATTCCCTCTGAGATATTCTTAGGTTTGTAGGATGTTTTTTCTCTTTCTGCACAAGGCATTGCATTTAGGATTTATCACATGAATTTGACTAGTTTTCTTGGATTACTCATAATAAACTCACATATCTGTTCCATAGACAGAGTCCACTTTTTCCATTTATTGTGTATGAAAACATATTTCATAAACAACAGGACTTCAGTTCATAACTCTTGAACTAAGACTATCTAGTCACTTTTTATTGCCTTAAAAGAAAAATGTTTGTTTATTTTAATGTAACAAAACAAATTTCATCAGAGTTGTTCTACTGACCAAAGAAAACCATAACATTAAACCCTTTTAACAACATTCTAAAACATAGTAATGATTTCTTGTTTTAGGAAACACTGCTAAATGGAGATGCCTATGAAAATTTCAATAATTTTATGATCCATAATTGCATAGGAAAATGTACTGGAATCTGCTAACATAGTGGTTCACTTTACCACTATAAATGACATCAGGATATTTACAGTGTAAGATGTTGTAAGATCACCCATTCATTCATTGAAGAGACTTTCAAAGACCATCTATTCCAATCTCCCTGCCATGGACAGGGACATCTTGTACTAGATCGGGTTGCTTAAAACCTCATCCAACCAAACACTGAACACTTGTAATTATGGGGCATCCACATCTCTGGGAAACCTGTATAAAGGAATGTAAAGACTCCCATGGCAAAAGCCATATCCTGGTGAGTCATATCACAAGGGGAACTATATTAACCTTTAGAAATACAAATATTGTGCAGTCATTTAACTTTATCCTTTGCATGAGTCATGAACAAAAAACCTTTTGGTTAGCAATTTTCCAAGTATATCCACAAACACATTTTTCAACTGGTGAAAGTGTCCTCAACAAAACCAAGGTGGGAAATAAAGGAACAAGATTAGCATTAGTGTTACAATTGCCTCCAATACATATTCTATTTCTCATTTTTGGTGAAAACATTAAAACTTTGGTTTTTCATATTTAAATATGAACCATGTGAAGATAGGGTGACACATGGCTACATTTTATGACTTAGATCATACCTAGAAGGTAACAATCAGCCTAAATCCTGAACTAAATATCTGATGACAGAACACCTAATGGAAGAGGTCATGATTATACATGTAGTTTTAACTTTACTTACACAGGGAAGTGTGTGCAGAGATAGAGTATCCTGAAAAGCAAGGGGATGTGGTCAGGCTCCTGTCTGTGAAGACTCAGCACTTTCCCTTAACTATTACGGGTTGAGTTTCCAGGTCAGTGCAGCTAGGGAAGTAGGTAACATCCATGTGCTGGTGAACCCCAGTGCAATGCTAACTGCAGTCTGGTAACTGAAAGGAGGATTTATATCTGTGCCAAATTCAAATATCTCTGATTACTACCTCAAGTGAAACTACTGGGTTTACTCAGTTTCCATGATAATTGCAATCCAAGATATATTTCTCCTATCTTAGAACAATGCCCTCGCAAAATATCTATCTTGATTGTTCCCTCCAAATCTTCATTTATAATTTAAGTCTGCTCAACTTAATATTTTATGTCTACTATATTATATTGGCTATATCATATCTAGACTATTACATCAGTACCATGCCAAAACTTTTTAACATGTTCATTCCATATTAACTTTCATTACTATAAAAAATAATAAATTACAGAAGTAACAACTGGAATGGTTGATCACTTTTTTAGAAACAAACAGCTATTTGTTTCCTTCTGAAATGTCAATTAAAACTGGTGAGAAAAAATTTTGTCAGAAAAAAATTTGAAGGTGTGTAATGGTTTTGAGTCTAGGCCTTCCTTCCTGTCAACCAGGAAGGAAGGAAGGATGTATTCCATCCTATTCCTTTACGTAATCAAACATATAAATAGACGAAGAGAGAAGCCTCTTCCTTTTTTCTCTTCTGGCGAGGTTTGGGGAGCTGAGGCCTGGCCAGGCCTACAGGGCCTGTTCTTTCTGCCGATCCGGAGTCCAGTAGTGTGGTGGTGGCATTGAGCGCAATTGTGCTATCTCAAGGAAAGGATTAAGGTTTTCTTTGACTAGTTCTTTATTGAGTGTGTATACCTGTTTTGGGGTTTTTTTTCTTTTGTCTCTTTTCCCTTTCCCTTTTCCGTTTTCAGGGTTTTTTCCTTATGTGTATATTGTTTTTGTAATTGTAAAGAAATGTAATATAAGTGTAAATATATTTATATATTGCTCTAGTTCTCTCTTATTTCACTTCTCTTATTTTTTTTTTTTTCTTTTCCCTTGGTTTTGGGGGGGTAGCTCTTGTGGTGGGGTTTGGAGACTTGGCAGGGAGCCAGCTCCAAACCACCACAAGGTGTTATCGTTTCCAGTAGAAGGAGAAATTTCCGTGTTGCATACACTTTTTCAAAAGTTAACTCCTTACCATCATATAAGAAGGATAAAAATGATATCTCACAAATTCTTTACTGTAAGTAAAACATAAAGAAAACAATAAGCTTATCTCAAAAGCATTTGCTCTAATGCTGCCTTGTTTGCCTTATCCTTATTATTCATGGCTTCAGTTCAGTTCTAAAGTATTCTTTCCTTGCTTATCCATCTTATGATACCATTCTTCATACATAGGTACTCTATCTAGTATCTCAACAGCTAGTTGACATTGTTTCTTTACTTATCACCCTCTTACAGTTCTTTCATATTTTTTTTCCTGTATAGGTTTTTCTGATCCATCTTTCTCCTTTTCTGGGCCTCCAATGTGCTAGTCCTACAGAATGCAGGGACTAATTTCATCTCCTGTGACTATTTTTAAGAGTAAAATACCACCTGACTTGGTGTGGGGTACTTTAGTGTGATGAGATTAGAAAAGTAGCTGGCAGAGACACTGTGAGAAGGAACTGAAGGACACAGCAGAAGTCCTGAACCTCGTGCACATCCTCACATGTCTTGCCAAGCATCCTGTCAGAGGGAGAAGGGATTTTGTTGACTCTCTACTCTCCTCCTCTCCAGATACTCTGTGGTTCTTGTCATCTGTGCCTTCTGCAACCTCCATACCCATAGTATCATCACAGAAGCAATGTTTATCCTCGAGGAGAAGGAATTATTTATTTTAGGGGATACAAAAGCTGCATAGATCTTTTCTTACTTTACAACCTCAGTGGGTCTCAGGTAAATTACTAAATTTAAGGCTTCAACTACCAGACACATTTCATCTAAATGTAAAATAACAGGTTCATCTTCTAAATATAACAATTTACAGGAAAGAAATCTGAGACTATTTCTTGCAGAAAAAAGTAACAATACCTATTCATGAGAATAATCTGCCAAAAAGCCTACAAATTCTGATGATTTTATGTAGAAAGAGAAGATAATTTTCCAAATCTGGCACTTGTTAGCAATGTAATGTGCCTTTAGGGTAAGCTATTGGCACACATCCCTTAAGAACTAGGCTATAAAACATTAGAAAACAGATGTTTGACTAAAAATAAAGTAAACAGAAATTTCAAACATTAACTTTGGGAAGACTTTCATTATTCAGATGTTATTAACTGCACTTCCTGGACTCACTGCAGTACCTCTAACTATTAGAGAGGTTAATATCATGCTTTTACTGGGTTTGCTGTTGGCAGATGATCATTTCTTTTAGACACTGTGAACATATCTGGAAATGACAGAGATAATGCAAGCTGGTTAGCATAAGAAACAGATTTTATACATTTTTTTACAAGCAGCCCTACCAAAGCTCAACCTGTGTATGCACAAAAGCCTTCAAATTTCCTCTTTTGTATGTCTCTACTACTTTTGAGGTTTTGAGGGGTGAAGGATAGGCATTTATGTATACAAATATTAGAATTTACATCAAAAAAATGTCCTTAATTTCAAAGTTTTACATATTTCTCAAGTTAACATCCCCAAACTTAAGCACACTTTGTCATACCTATGTCATGGTGAATTTAATGTATCTTTTGTCATACCTATGTCATGGTGAATTTAATGTATCTTTTTGTCATATATCTTTGTTAGTTATGTACCACGTTCTAAGGCTCAGATTTTGTGATGCTAACATCTATTCCGTCTTCATCTAACAACTTTTGGGAAAAAAAATGCAGATGGATTTCTGCATTTTCACAAAAAAATTGTCCTTTCTTTTATGTAATGTATCAAAGTAGGCAAAAAGTGTTCTTGCTCACTAACCATAACAACATTGGCAACTTATAATGAAGTGAGACAATAAAAGTGAAATATCAGCAAAAAAGAAAAAAAAAATATCAGTGGATTTTTAGACATCTAGGCATGTGTGTCAGATCCTTACCCATTTTGGATAATCTTGTTACAGAAATATGTGGCAATTATCCTGCCAGAATTACCATTCTGATTTGCAAACACAGGCATAGATTTCTGAACTCTGCTGAGATTTGCCTGAGGGACAGATGGAAGAATGCAGAGGCCACCTTAGCAGTCTTCAAGAAGGTAAATTAAATCTTAGATTGAACTCTATCATATCATTATGAGTAATGGCAAACTTCCCCTTTACTTCTCCTTTACAAACTTCACCAATGGAGCTCGTTGTGAAACCTGCCATAGCTTCTGTCTCCCAGCAGTTTTGTTCCAAGTCTTTTTAGATGGGTGAAACAAATTTCAGTGATTGGTGTACAGTATAACTCCTGAGAGACTTGTTCTTTCTTACTGTTATATTGTCTCAGGTAAAACCTATAAAACACAATATTTATAAATTATCACTGGTAGCAGCAGCTTCACTATGGCAGAAACATTCTTGCTTCAGAATAAATATATTAGATGACTCTGATAGGGTCAAAACCTGGTACTGCATGAACCTGAATTATTGTTTTCCTTGTGAATGAAGAGAGCACCATAGCATGAAGCAGTGGGTTTTACTGGTCTTAGGAGCATCTCTGATTCCAACTCCAAAATCTTTCTCTAACCCGTTTGTTTTTCAGGTTTTCTTCAGCACAAAGTTTTAGGAGTATATAATTCCTATGTTGCATATATAGAACTCATAATATAAAACTTTTCTTTTTAAATATTGTCAGGAAAAGCAACCACGACCTCCCTGTGACAAAGGAAAATGCATATGTAGTTATTTGTGTGCTTTGAAGAGCTGCTCAGTAGAGTTGCTGGACCAAAGGCAGTTCAAGATAAGAATTGGTTGCAGCAAATATGGAACTGAAAGTTTAGAATTTCAAGCCAGAGAAATTTCCTCTGTGAAAAGCAGTTTAAAATTAATTAACAAGAAAATTTCGTTACCACTACTGAAGGAGAATGGCACTGTTGGCAAACCTCCGGGCCTCACTATTACAAACGTAGAAGCAGAAGTTGGGGTGTTCTTTTAGGAATCAGCTGTTACACCTGTTGTGTAAATTACAGCACATTGTCAAATGAGTAATAGTGGATTGGTTAAAAACCTGGAATAAATCCAATGTACCAATGGCTTTCTGTCAATCTGTCAAGTCACTTAAAGAGAAATTTTGCAAAGTTCTGCCTGGGGTCTGGTTCTGTTCAATATTTTCATTAATAGCTTGAATAGATGAAATAAAGGAAATGCATGCAGAAGAAACAAATCTGGGAGGAAGTATTTCTTTTTTGGAGGACAAAATATGAATAAGACATGATAAATTATATGAACTTTGATCCACAAAATTACTTCTGATAAAAACAAGTATTAAGTACTACATGTAATATGGAAAATCAAATGCACAAATAGTAAACTAAAACTTGGATACACAGCAACACTGTAAATAAAAAGGTTTGTGTTTTGGGTCAGTCAAAGTCCTTGAATAGGTCAATAGTCGCTCTCTTTTATCTGCTAAATAAATTAAATCTCTTTTGTCCCTCTTTCTTGGGCTCTCTGCCTCAGAACAGACTATCTAATATTTGTGTTCTGAAGGCCCACACACAATCATACTTCTTCACAAGTATTTGATTCTTCCATGGCTGTTTATGGGATTCTGCTTTAACCAATGTGATTCATTACAGACTAAGATAGACAAACATAGTGAGATTGATACAGTAGTTTTTCCACGCACTAGTGGGCTTTCAACTTGCTGTTACAGCTTTCCTCTTTTAAGAGAAGAACAAGGAAGAGAAAACAGCAACAGCTTTTCAAGGTATCTAATCTTATCCTTGAATGATCATCAGGCACTGCATGGAAATGTTTGAAACCTTTCCTAGGGGTATCATTCAGGCTCATGGTGGTCCTGCTGGGGAAGAGAAGAATGAGGACCAGTACATTTTGTGTGGGAACCGCACTTCTTCTGAAGTAGGAAGTAGGTTGGGAGGAAAGGATACCACAATACTTGAAAAAGATAAGAGAAGAGACAAGAAAAGAAAAGAAGAATAAAGTTTGTGAGGAGAGGTACTTAGGAGCAAAAATAAGTTTTTTCTTCTTTTTTCTTTAAGGTGTTATTCTCAGTCAACCTTACTCCTCTTTCACTTCTTTCATTTCTCTCCTCTTTGACTGCCTCCCTCTTTTTTCTCTCCAAAGCAAAAGGTTTTATCAGAAGACAAACTTTAACAAAATCACTCTCATGACTCAATAAACTTTTGCATACTGGTGGTGATGACTGAGTCACAGAAAGTGTGTTCAACTACACATTCAAAAGATATCAAAAACCAGAATTGATTTTCTTAAGGCAGAGTTGTGTGCTGGTTAGGTTTGGTGGATGTTAGGAGAGCAACAAGAGTAGGTCTAATTACTGCTAAGTCGTTGAAAAGAGAAAACATAGTAACAAAGTAGAAAAATAAAGCAAAATAAATCCAAGGTCAGAAGCTTTGGTTTCCCTGCAGTGACTGTTCATGTTGTTACTTCAGCAACCTCTTTTCCTGTTGAGAAAATCACTATGTATTCCAGAAATATGCACACATTATCTAATACTGCAGTATACAGTATTGACTTCATAACTTCTGCACCGTTTTCCTCTCAGTCTTCCCTTTCACTTCTTAGTAGGTTTTGTAGGTTCTGTGAACAGCATGAAAAGGAAATAATTACTACAGTGTCAAGCATCCTCTTTTCCCTTGAAGCTCCGTGGCAGCTTAAGGTACAAAGCCCTCTCACAGAATAAAACCCAAGCTTATTCTAGTCAATCAGTGGTTTCCCAGTTGCTCTCATTTTGTTTCTGTGGATTTGAAAGACATCAGCATGGGAGGTAAAAATAATTTAGCAGATAATTATGTTGCAAGCAATTACGCTAATATTACTTACTGAGTTCTAAATAATGAATTTTCTTTAGTTGGTTCTCCTTTTGCACTTCATCAGTTTGAGGTTTCTTGCTTTGAAGTTCATATGTTAAGATTTCCCAGTACCGAAATGTTCATTTCTCTGTATCCAAAGTAATTTTGACACTGAAATACTTTACTGGCCTTACTTCAAAAGCTCTTGCCCAAGAACACCATGCCATGGTCTTGGTGTCCTGAAACATGTTCCTTCACCCAGAGTGCAAGAGAACAATCCACAGACAGAGTCAAGGTATTTGATTTATTTAGAGTTCTGTGCAGAACACGGTTCTATGTGGCAAATCCACAAAGCTAGCTCAACGATTATCTAAACTTTTCACTACTTATATATTTTAGCAAACCAAGGCATTAATGTTCATTGGCTACAAGGTGCATAGTTCTCTCATTAATTGGTATTCTATCTTCTATTGCTTAAATGATTCTCTTTCTTCTTATGCTGATTAGTGCACATGCTCAGTTTCTTCTTTTGAATCAGTGGGTTTCTGGAGTTGGTGGTCGTGATCACTCTGGAGTTGGTGGTCGTGATCACTCTTTACCAGAATTACCCTTTAACTAGTTTGATGAGCTGGCCATGTTTGTTCCTCGTAATCTGGCTTTACTTCAATTATGTTGCCCACTGTCCTTGATTCTTTGGTTCAGCATTGCATTATGTCTGGTTTCACTTGATATATTATCTCAAGCTTTTTTTTTTATATTCTTTTTCTATAGATGCAGTAACTTAGGCTTATTAAAGCTGAAATTACTGAGACATATTAGAGATAACATCTATTTGGAAACAGTACATCAGTCTTATACAACTCTCACAGTTTGACATTTTAAATTTTTGAATCAAAGTGTTTATAAAATTAAGAAAAATAAGTATTTGTGGTATTTATGGAAAAGGAGAAGAAGGAAAGAAGAGAGAAGTCAATGTTGATTTCAATTGTTAATGTTCTACAATTGTCACAATTTTTCTTCTGAGAGGTACTGATTATGTTAAGCCAAAACTAGTTGTTAGATTAAGCTGTAAATGACTGCATTTTGTCTCTGAATATGATCTGAATTTACATCTTCTGGAAATTGGGTACAAGTAATGCTTGTTGGGTTTTTTTCATTGAAAACATCAAAAGAAAATGATGTCAGCACTTTATAGATACTAACATTCTGATAATACATATTGAAAGAATTTTAAGAGAGTATTTTAATAGATTATTATCTCACAATTTTCTTCATGGATCTTTTTTTCTTCCACTTTTGAATATAGCCGGCTTTGCTTCAAACACGAATGCAAGAATACAATAATGGCAAAACAGAATGGTTGTTTTTCTCCTCTTGCCATTTCTGAGCGTCTCCCTGTCCAGCTTTTAGCACTACCCTCAGATAACAGACTGGAGAAGGGTTTCCCAATAACATGCATAAGTTTGTTATAGCAAGCACAGCTGTTTCCTCATGGTCTAAAGACCCAACTTATCTATTCTGATGCCATGCACATCCACCAGCAATTCTCACACACTTTCATACTTGCATTTACTGAGTTAGGGTAGGTGAATGGTACTGTGGTCTACCACAGTTATCATACTATCCAGAAAGGTTAAGGTGACCTGTTGTTTTAGCTCATAAGGAAATTAAAAACATGACTTTGCTGCTATGTTGTTGCTAGTCAACGAAATATTAAGTTCCAATTTCTTAATAGAATTATGTACATGCTATAAAATCCTATCACAAGGATTAATATATTGTTTAACTGAAGTGTGTTATGGAGTTAATAAACTTCTTATACTGGTTACTATATTAAGTTATCTTTATCTATTTGATATATTCTTCATTTCCTCGCCACAGCATAATAATGTGATTAAGAAATTGTTGCTTGGGAGCTTTCGTATCATGGTCCTGAACACTATTCTTCTGCAAGATTACATTAAATGATTGCTTTACTTTCAGCAATAATGCTAACCATAGCACACTCATACACTTTTTTTCTTTCAGAAATAACTCTAGCCTGACTAGGCAGGAAGAAACTTAGCAAGGTAACAAGTAGCACTGAACTTACACATAGATACCTGAAGAAACAGCAAAAATTGCTGGTCTTCATCATGTGTTTGAAAATCTAAAAGCAGCTGCCTACAGTTACAGACAATATCTCTCAAAAATGAGTTCCTTGGCTTACTGGAAATAAAATTCAGTTTAATCTGACTACTGACTACTGCAGCTTCCTACTACAAAACAAAAACAAAAACAAAACAATGAAACCCCCACCCCAAAAAATCCACATTTCAGTATATAAAAGAATAGAATAATTTTGTACTGTGAGTAAAACTAACATCCAAAAATTATGAATGCATACTTAAATACATGCTAAAATTATTTCTTAGGCTATTCAAGGTCTACATACTCTTTTCCCAGTTAGGTTTTATTTTACTATCACTCTAATTGATTGATCAGACAACAAAGAAATGCCTGTTGATCAGGCATGGATATGGTTTACCTGAGAATGTTTGTGTTGAACATAAGTGACAGAATATATGAATTTTTACTATTAATTTTTTACCTGTGCAGCATCAGTAGAGCAGTAGATATTTTTTGGCAGTCAAAATGGGAGAGAAGATTAATTTCTATGATTCTATTTTTAATTGTTCAACAATTTAGTGTGCTGCTTCAAAATATATAGTCTGTCACCAGAAGAATTTTTTTTCTTCATGTCAGAGGAAATATTAGTTCAAATCTGAAAACAAGAGAGGAATAATTTTTATCTCTCATATTCATCTTTCAGCAGTCAGCGTTATGTATTCTACAGGAAGTAAATATCTCAACAGGCATGCAAATTAAATTATTTTCTAATTTTTATATATCTTGCATGATACATTATTTAATTGTGGAGCAATTATTTTTGTTATCCTCTGTAACAGCTAGAAGGTTTGTGTTCAAGTTGTTTTGCATACCATTTGTATACCTTGATAATTTTTTTCTTTTATGTCCATCATCTATGGTTTAAACCTTAATGATCTTATCCATGAAACTGAAGGAATATAATTTTATTTAAGAAATACTGTACCACATAGGCAGAAATAATCTGACTTTCACTTTTAAAAGCTGTGATTTGAATACTGATGTGGACCACTGCTTTAACCACCGTAACACAAGAGAGCTTCTTAATGCATAAAATATCAGTTTGATTACCCATATGAACACTGAAGAAAATCTGTATTTCCTTTCAGGCTGTTAATCTACTGGAAGTTTTTTTGTGGCTGTCGAATGTTCAACTCAAATGTTTAAATATCACTATTTGCTGAAGGGAATTTCTTTGAAGAATGATGCTGATCCCAACAAGAG